GAAATGGGACCAGAATGATTGGCAAGACTAGCGAAAAATATAAATTCTTTTGGCAAGGAGGTAATGATGGTAAGGCTGGAGTTGGGGTATTGGTTGCGGAGAAATTGGTAGACAAAGTAGTCGAAGTGAGAAGGCTAGATAACCAGATAATGGTTATCAAGATGATTTTTGGTAGAAAGCTATATAATATTATCTCGGCATATGTTCCTCAGGTTGGAAGAAGTGAAGAAGAGAAAGATATATTTTAGGACAGTCTATTGGGGGTGACATCAAGACTGGCAAATGAAGAGGGGATTATCCTGGCTGGTGATCTGAATGGACATGTGGGAGCGAGTAATGAGGGTTATGAAGGAGTACATGGAGGGTTCAATTACGGCATGAGAAATTAGGAAAAAGAGAGGATTTTAGATTTTTGTGATGCTATGGATATGATTGTCTGTAATACAATGTTTAAGAAAGAATCCGAGAAGCTGGTGACTTATAAGTCGGGTAGTACCAAAAGTGCAGTGGATTACTTGTTATTAAGGAGATGTGACCGATGTATAGTAAAATAATGTGAAAGTGATACCGGGAGAGGAATGTATAAATCAGCATCGACTAGTTGTAGGAGATCTCACTCTTAAAGGTGCCAGGGTCACTAAAAGAAAGTTAGTGCCAAGGCTGAAGGTTTGGAAATTCAAGGATGAGTGCTAGACGTCAATTCAATATGACATTGGCGATTAGGGAAGCGGAGGTGGCACAAGCATCTGGGGTAAATGACAAGTGGGAAGCCATGAAGAAAGACTGGGTGATGACAACTGAGGAGGTATGTGGATGGACAAAAGGGCCGCCTAGACATAAGGAGACTTGGTGGTAGAACCCGAAGGTAGCGAAAGCTGTGGATGAGAAACGGAGGTGTTTCAAAGTATGGTATAATAGCAAAGATAATAGTGATAACGATATTTAGAAGATGGCTAAAAGAAATGCTAAGAAATTAATAGCGAAGGCTCAAGAAGAAAAAAGACACGAGGTGCTAAAGAAATGGAATGCGCTGATGGAATTGGAAATATGGTTCGAATGGCAAAGCAGATGTCAAAAAAGAGGCAGGATGTGATGGGTGTAAGGTGTTTGAAAAATATGGAAGGAAAAATGGTGATTGATAGTAGTGGTATTAAGAACACCTGGAAGATTTACATGAAAGGACTTTTGAATGAAGAAAATGAATGGGATAATGATGTTTGTTGTGCAAAGGTAGAAGGTCCAGGGTGTAAATTTGGCAAGGACGAGATAAAGAGCAGTGAAAAAGATGGAAAAAGGAAAGGCATCGGGTTTAACGATGGTGGTATCAGAGATGTTTAAAGGTTATGAGGATTTAGGGATTGAATGGTTAATGAATTTAGCCAATCAAATTGTCACAGAAAGAACTATTCCCGAGGACTGGAGAAGAAGTATAATTATCCCAGTATACAAGGGTAAAGGTGATCCTTTAGATTGCGGGTCTTACAGAGCTATTAAACTCTTAGAACATGCAATGAAAGTATTTGAGAGTGTTAGAGAAGCGGATAAGGGAACAAATTAAAATTGATGAAATGCAGTTTGGTTTTACATCGGGAAAAGGCACGACAGTTGCAATTTTTGTGGTGAGACAAATGCAGGAGAAGTATCTTGCGAAGGAAAAGAAACTCTATTATGCGTTTGTTGATTTGGAGAAAGCATTTGATAGGGTGCCGCGTGAGGTTACTTGATGGGCCTTGAGAAAATGAGGTGTGGGGGAATGGTTGGTTATCGCAGTGATGGCAATGTATGTTGGAGCATAAACAGCAGTACGGACGGATTATGGTGATAGTGACAGCTTAGAGGTGAAGGTATGACTTCATCAAGGATCCGTGCTGAGTCCACTATTATTTATCTTAGTAATGGATGTGGTGGCTAAAGAAATGCGTGAAGGACTTCCCTGGGAGCTATTATATGCAGATGACCTTGTATAAATGGCAAACAGTGAGGAAGAATTGAGGGATAAAATTAGTAAATGGAAGATGACTATGGAAGCAAAGGGCCTGAAAATGAATGCATCAAAGACAAAGGTGATGATTGGTGGGGAAAATCTAAAGATGGAGAAATCCGGTAAGTGCCGTGTGGTGTATGTGGGAAAGGAGTTGCTAGAAATTCTATTCAATGCACCCGATGCCAGAAATGGGTACATAATAAATGTAGCAGGAAAATAGGAAATTTGATGTTAGGAAGAATGACCTTTATTGTAGAACATGCATGAAAGGGATACATAATAATGATAACCTAGAAAATGGTGGTCTGAATATTGGCAATGGGTTAACCCTAGAAAAAGTGGATAAGTTTTGTTATTTAGGTGATCTGATAAACGCAGATGGTGGTGTAGATTCTACCGTTGTTGCAAGGACCAGACAAGCTTGGAAGAAGTTCAGAGAGATGTCGTCTATTCTTACAAATAAAAGTCTCTGAAGTTAAAGGGGAAAGTTTACGTAAGCTGTGTGGGAAGTTGTTTAGTTTATGGCGGCGAAATATGGGCAATGAAAGCGACTCACGAAGCCAAATTAGAAAGAACAGAGCTGAGGATGATTAGATGGATGTGTGGGGTATCTCTGAGAGAGAAAAACTAGAAAGGAATTGCGAGCAAGATTGGGTATAGAAATGATTGGAATGGTAATGCGACGAAATAGACTAAGATGGTTTGGGCATGTGGAACGTATTACAAAAGATGATTGGGTAAAGAGATGCACAATGATGGAAATAGGAGGATCAAGACCTAGAGGAAGACCCAAGATGACGTGGACAAATGTGATAGCGGCGGATATGAGAAGCATGAATCTTACAAATATTGATGCTCAGGACCGTCAAAAATGGAAAAGTAAAATCAGAGGGAAAACTGGCCTACCCGGGTAAACCTGGAAATCGCCATAAAACGGAGAGGAAGAAAGGAAAGATTTATTAGTCACATTTTATTGTAAACAGATTTTATTTTCTTTTGCCGGTTGAGTCTAAATACACTTGAAACGCGAGAGGATTAAGAAAATCTCAGAGTTTTATTCTGATGAATTATCAGGATCGTATGATAAATTACTTTGTGATGTCGAATTTTGGTATAAAAATATTGACAGATTAGAGTACTCTTTGAGACCAAAATATGCTTTGCAGGCCGTTTCCTTGTATAATTGCACTTTAGATTCCCTGCATAATATCAAAACATTGTTTTTATCTTAGCTACTTACCGATTAGCACCTGCACTTGAAAGGTCTTTTTCAACTTTAAAAAGGTTAAAAACCTATTTAAGAAATAGCACCGGTGAAAGTCGTTTAAATGGATTCGCAATATTATATATTTATAAGGAGATTATTCTAGATAAAAATTTGATTCTATATGAATGTCAAATCTCAGAGAAAAGTAGACCTCTCTTTATAAATTCAAATTATAAAATTGCTAAATATGATCTTAGTCATAAATTTTTATATTCAAAACGTAATTATAATGAATTCTTTGTCATAATATTTATATATTATAATATTTTTAATAAAAATATTACATTTGCACTAAGAATTAATGATCTGCATCGGGCCTAATTTTTCAAACCCGGCCCTGCCCGAAATTATTTTAAAAACGTTTTGCCGGCACGAACCCTAAAAAAAGTTTTGTCGGCCTGGCCCGAATTTATTTAAATATAGAAATTCATTTTTATAATTACCCCAAATAAAAGATATATGTTATATGGCGTATAGTTTTTATAAATAAAATCAAATATTTTTATTTTACATAAAAATTTAACATAAAATTGATATATTTAGATATATTTTAAAAAATTTCCAAGACTTGACCCAACCCGGCCCGAATTTTTTTAAAAAATATACCCAACCCAGCCCGATTTTCCTACTTTTGCGGATCTCTAATAAGAATTATTTATATTTTATTAATATTTTGTATTAATTATATTATAATTGTTAAATTAGATTTTTTTAAATACCGCACAAGAATTACTCATATTTTATTGTAATTCTATTTTTTTTAAACATAGTCATTTAGAATAAATTTTTAATATAATCTGTATAAAATTTATACACTTTGAAATTTATTTTGTTGTATAAATAATAAATAAAATCTATGATGAAATTCTCTGCAAAATTTTGTTATATGCAAAAATTTAGTTAAAATAATTATTTTTAATAGTGTTGTTAAACGGCCGATTTTTAAATACGGCTAACTCAATATTTCATCCAGAAAAATATTACGCAAGCTTGAAGATTTTGCTCATAGAAGGAACAAAGGTCTATATATATATTATCGAAATCTCCATCCTTAGGCAATATTTTTCTAGCTAAAATATTGAGTTAACCGTTTTAAAAATCGGTTCAAAACGAGCTGTTTAACAACACTAATTTTTAACATTGAATAAGATATATTGAGTTATCATAAAAAATGGAAGTTGGGGGGGGGGGGACGATTTTATTCTTCTTTCTACACCGAATTGATTGAATTAATTTACAATTGACAAAACATTGATAAAATTTTCAGAATAATGCTTTTTGTTACTAATATTTTTCCCATTTATGCTGGCTACTATAGTGGTTAGACACCAATAAAGCACAAAATTGGAAAATTTTTAAAATGCGGTTTGGGGGCGAAGTCCCCCCTCCCCCCAATTGAACCCCCCCCCCCTATGGATCAATCCTGGCTACGCTACTGTTTATTAACTTAAAAATTTGAACAAATTATTATTTGTGGAAGATCATTAAAATGTTAATATTATTCATGGGAAATTTTAAAAAAAATGTTTAATAGGATAACTCATATTTAAATAAAATATTTGGCTCATTATATTAAATAAACGATAAGGATTCAAGAAATGGAACATATAATATTTAAAAAAATATTTAATAAGTTTTTTTACAATGGAAAATATTAGGTCATAAATGGTTCATATCAATTTTCAGCCTTTTAAAAGCTATATCAATACACTTCTAATAATAATGTATATTATATATAAAAAAATTTACCATATTATCCATAATAAAAACGTTGTTCTTCTAATATCTGTGGCGAATAAATCTTTAAACCTCCCTCTATGGTTATCGAGTAAATTCTTTTTTAAATATTGCATAATTTATTAAATATTATTCTAATTTAATTAATATGCCATTTTTTAAGATAGGTGTCCATTAAACTTAATCAATACCTTAATAAAGATACATTAGGTGCAAAAAAGATATAATTAGGGTATAAGTTATAATAATTGATGCAATTACATTTTTAGGATATAGAAATTTAATCGGATATTATTCGAAAATTATTTTTTTATGGTATTAGATTATAAATTTTAAAAAAATGGAATAACTTCACAAGAACTTCAATTTTAAAACTTCCAAGAACCCAAACCTATTTTGAAATATTCAGGAACCCGAATCAGCTCTAACAAAAGTAGTACTAATTTATATGTTCAAAATTTTGTGATTCATTATTAAAGGGTCATTTAGGGGTAGGTCTATAAGTCGAAAGGCTGCATGATACGAAAGGCTAAAAAATAATATTGAAAATAAAAATAACAAAGAAAATGATTAATGTGTAATTTGATTGATTTATTGCTTTTTTACGAGAAAAATATTATAATAACATTACATTATAATATATTAAAAAAATATAAATTTTAAGATCTTTTCAATTTTTTTATTAATTCTTTGAAATAAATTGCGGTTTTAATTTTATTAATTTTTAATTTATATTTTTAATTAAATTATATTTGGTTATTTTAAAAAAATGGATTATAATATTTCAATTTTTTTATTAATTCTTTGAAATAAATTGCGATTTTAATTATATTAATTTTTAATTTATATTTTTAATTAAATTATATTTGGTTATTTTGAAATAATGGAATTTTTAAAATTATATGTATATTCTATTTAAGTTTTTTTTCAAAACTAAATTGATAGTAAGTATAACGATATTGTGAGTACTGGATTAGGGAAAAGGCTAACATCTTAAACGTAATTTTAAGTATCTTTATATCATTCTACTCAGAATTAAATTTCCTATCTAAATATGCTTTGATGTATTTTTTTACGTTATCGGTTCAAAAAATAAATTTTAAAAATTTTTTGGTGGTAAAAACATTCAGTTGGAAAAGACTAACATCTTAAACGCAATTTTAGGTATTTTTATATCATTCTACTCAGAATTAAATTTCCTATCCAATTATGCTCAGATGTATTTTTTTACGTTACCTGTTCAAAAAATAATATTTTTGTCGCCAAAACGTTCGAATGGAAAAGGCTAACATCTTAAACGCAATTTTAAGTATTTTTATATCATTGAACTCAGAATTAAATTTCCTATCTAAATATGCCTTGAAGTAATTTTTTACGTTATCGGTTCAAAAAATAAATTTTAAAAATTTTTTTGTGGTAAAAACGTTCAAGGCTAACATCTTAAACCCAATTTTAAGTATTTTTATATCATTCAACTCAGAATTAAATTTCCTATCCAATTATGCTTAGATGTATTTTTTTACGTTTCCGGTTCAAAAAATAATATTTTTGTCGCGAAAACGTTCGAAGAGAAAAGGCTAACATCTTAAATTTAATTTTAAAAATTTTTATATCATTGAAATCAGAATTAAATTTCCTATCTAAATATGCGTTGATGTATTTTTTTACGTTATCGGTTCAAAAAATACATTTTAAAAATTTTTTGTGCTAAAAACATTCAAAGGGAAAAGGCTAACATCTTAAGATTAATTTTATAAATTTTTATATCATTGAACTCAGAATTAAATTTCCTATCGAAATATGCTTTGATGTTTTTTTTACGTTATCGGTTGAAAAAATAAATTTTAATAATTTTTTTGTGGTAAAAACGTTCGAAGGGAAAAGGCTAACATCTTAAACGCAATTTTGAATATTTTTATATCATTCTACACATAATTAAATTTCCTATCCAAATATGCATAGATGTATTTTTTTACGTTTCCGGTTCAAAAAATAACATTTTTGTCGAGAAAACGTTGGAAGGGAAAAGGCTAACATATTAAGTTTAATTTTATAAATTTTTATATCATTGAACTCAGAATTAAATTTCCTATCGAAATATGCTTTGATGTATTTTTTTACGTTATCGGTTCAAAAAATAAATTTTAATAATTTTTTTGTGGTAAAAACGTTCGAAGGGAAAAGGTTAACATCTTAAACGCAATTTTGGATATTTTTATATCATTCTACACAGAATTAAATTTCCTATCCAAATATGCTTAGATGTATTTTTTTACGTTTCCGGTTCAAAAAATAACATTTTTGTCGCGAAAACGTTCGAAGGTAAAAGGCTAACATCTTAAACGCAATTTTAAGTATTTTTATATCATTGAACTCAGAATTAAATTTCCTATCCAATTATGCTTAGATGTATTTTTTTTACGTTTCCGGTTCAAAAAATAATTTGTCGCGAAAACGTTCTAAGGGAAAAGGCTAACATCTTAAATTTAATTTTCTTTTCCAACTGAATGTTTTTACCACCAAAAAAATTTTTTAAATATATTTTTTGAACCGATAACGTAAGAAAATACATCAAAGCATATTTAGATAGGAAATTTAATTCTGAGTTCAATGATATAAAAAAATTTTAAAATTAAATTTAAGATGTTAGCCTTCCCTTCGAACATTTTGGCGACAAAAATTATATTTTTTGAACCGAAAACGTAAAAAAATACATTTAAGCATAATTAGATAGGAAATTTAATTCTGAGTTCAATGATATAAAAATACTTAAAATTGCGTTTAAGGTGTTAGCCTTTTCCCTCGAACGTTTTGGCGACAAAAATATTATTTTTTGAACCGGTAACGTAAAAAAATATAGCTAAGCATAATTGGATAGGAAATTTAATTATGAGTAGAATGATATAAAAATACTTAAAATTGCGTTTAAAATGTTAGCCTTTTCCCTTCGAACGTTTTCGCGACAAAAATGTTATTTTTTGAACTGGAAACGTAAAAAAATACATCTTAGCATATTTGGATAGGAAATTTAATTCTGAGTAGAATGATATAAAAATTTATAAAATTAAACTTAATATGTTAGCCTTTTCCCTTCCAACGTTTTCTCGACAAAAATGTTATTTTTTGAACCGGAAACGTAAAAAAATACATCTATGCATATTTGGATAGGAAATTTAATTATGTGTAGAATGATATAAAAATATTCAAAATTGCGTTTAAGATGTTAGCCTTTTCCCTTCGAACGTTTTTACCACAAAAAAATTATTAAAATTTATTTTTTCAACCGATAACGTAAAAAAAACATCAAAGCATATTTAGATAGGAAATTTAATTCTGAGTTCAATGATATAAAAAAATTTTAAAATTAAATTTAAGATGTTAGCCTTCCCTTCGAACATTTTGGCGACAAAAATTATATTTTTTGAACCGAAAACGTAAAAAAATACATTTAAGCATAATTAGATAGGAAATTTAATTCTGAGTTCAATGATATAAAAATACTTAAAATTGCGTTTAAGATGTTAGCCTTTTCCCTTCGAACGTTTTTACCACAAAAAAATTATTAAAATTTATTTTTTGAACAGATAACGTAAAAAAAGATATCAAAGCATATTTCGATAGGAAATTTAATTCTGAGTTCAATGATATAAAAATTTATAAAATTAAACTTAAGATGTTAGCCTTATCCCTTCGAACGTTTTCGCGACAAAAATGTTATTTTTTGAACCGGAAACGTAAAAAAATACATCTAAGCATAATTGGATAGGAAATTTAATTATGAGTAGAATGATATAAAAATACTTAAAATTGCGTTTAAAATGTTAGCCTTTTCCCTTCGAACGTTTTTACCACAAAGAAATTATTAAATTGAACCGATAACGTAAGAAAATACATCAAAGCATATTTCGATAGGAAATTTAATTCTGAGTTCAATGATATAAAAATTTATAAAATTAAACTTAAGATGTTAGCCTTTTCCCTTCGAACGTTTTCGCGACAAAAATGTTATTTTTTGAACCGGAAACGTAAAAAAATACATCTAAGCATAATTGGATAGGAAATAATTCTGAGTAGAATGATATAAAAATAAAAATTGCGTTTAAGATGTTAGCCTTTTCCCTTCAAACGTTTTTATTACAAAAAAATTATTAAAATTTATTTTTGAACCGATAACGTAAAAAAATACATCAAAGCATATTTCGATAGGAAATTTAATTCTGAGTTCAATGACATAAAAATTTATAAAATTAAACTTAAGATGTTAGCCTTTTCCCTTCGAACGTTTTCGCGACAAAGATGTTATTTTTTGTACCGGAAACGTAAAAAAATACATCTAAGCATAATTAGATAGGAAATTTAATTATGAGTAGAATGATATAAAAATACTTAAAATTGCGTTTAAAATGTTAGCCTTTTCCCTTCGAACGTTTTTACCACAAAGAAATTATTAAATTGAACTGATAACGTAAGAAAATACATCAAAGCATATTTCGATAGGAAATTTAATTCTGAGTTCAATGATATAAAAATTTATAAAATTAAACTTAAGATGTTAGCCTTTTCCTTCGAACGTTTTCGCGACAAAAATGTTATTTTTGAACCGGAAACATTAAGCATAATTGGATAGGAAATTTAATTATGAGTAGAATGATATAAAAATACTTAAAATTGCGTTTAAAATGTTAGCCTTTTCCTTCGAACGTTTTTACCACAAAGAAATTATTAAATTGAAAACGTAAGAAAATACATCAAAGCATATTTCGATAGGAAATTTAATTCTGAGTTCAATGATATAAAAATTTATAAAATTAAACTTAAGATGTTAGCCTTCCCTTCGAACGTTTTCGCGACAAAAATATTATTTTTTGAACCAGAAACGTAAAAAAATACATCTAAGCATATTTGGATAGGAAATTTAATTCTGAGTAGAATGATATAAAAATATTCAAAATTGCGTTTAAGATGTTAGCCTTTTCCCTTCGAACGTTTTACCACAAAAAATATTAAAATTTATTTTGACCGATAACGTAAAAAAATACATCAAGGATATTTCGATGGAAATTTAATTCTGAGTTAAATGATATAAAAATTTATAAAA